ATTTTTGTCTGTCCGAATATGGTAAATATGTTAATTAATAAAATCTCTTAGAAATTCCTACTAATCTAATATAAGCAATTTGAGCATCTCATAGATACAACATTTTATGCTGATTGAGAAGTCTTCTAAATCGTCAACTTGTGTAAAAATGAAATAAGGGCTTGCATTCCATTAAATGTAGTGATTCCGTTAGTCTCAATAGGGAATACAATTATATTCATATCATCATATCGTAGGGAGCATTAATGAACTTTATAACATGTTATATTTTCAATATGTATGGTTTTGATCACCACTTCTTCGATAGGATTTTTTTTTTTAAACTAGCTATAGGGATGGCTTAATATGTTGTCTAACTTACGAATAAATTTATCATTTTTTTAATATAACAATCAAGCAAATATAGCGTAAATATGAACTAATAAGAAAAATATACTAATGCATGCGATTTTGCAAGACGATCTAAATGTGATAAGCCTAAATTACTCATTGCATAAATAATCAAATAGCTAACTTAAATTGAACATACTTGCTCCATAGGTTGGATGTGGGGGTCGCTCCTTTCCTTTTAGAAAAGAGTTACCAATTTCAATCCTTGTACACCTAAAAATTTAAAAAAGATGTTGATATGAGAGTTTGCAAACTATTATGCCACATAAAAGGGTGGGTTCACCAATGCTTTCCAATTTCTTTCGATAGTTTTTGGGGTATAATCAAAACTTTATTATTCTAAATTAATAGCCATGCTTAATAATTTTGTCGATACACATAGAAGCATTCTGCAAGGCATAAGTTGGACGGAAAAGGTTTACATGGACTCTTTAATTCATAATTTTGTAGAGCTTCGTAAGCATGGTTTTAGATCTACAAAAATCTATTCATCTGGATCATGTCAAAGCAACATCTCATGCATAACACAATTGAATTAGTGTTTGATGAGGTGCACTCTCGAAAGAGCACCCAAATAGGTGCATTCAAAAAGCCCAAATGATGTTTGAACTTCATTCCCACCTAAACTTCACACCCAATTGAGAAGCACTCTTCACCTGACTTGGATTCGTTGTGTTTCTTACTCCAACACAAGTAGATACAATTATGGATTTGATTGAAGATTGCTTGGGAAGAATGGATTGAGGAGATGCTTTTGAATATCACTTATCTAGCTCTGGAAGGATGTGCCTAGAATTTCCACTTAATCCAAAGAATGCACGTGTGGAGTTAGTTTATAGTGAGTCATGATTGGGTTAATGTTTTAAGTAGAAAATATTTTCTTTTTTGGAAAAGATGAGCCCAAAGGGCAATATGCACGATTCAAACCCATGACCTCACATGGGAAGCTACAATCTTAACCACTATGTCACGGGTAGGTGCATTCAAGAAGAAATATTATTGTTCTTTATTTTTCAATAATATATATATTTTTTGAAATGAGTAGAAAAAGTTACTTGTACACATTAGATTTACTAAATTATTCCTATCATGTCTAGACTAGGGTTTCCATTTTGAACGTTGTGTTAGAACCAAAGTATGTTGTTGTTATAGTGAGTTAAAGGGAATAACTCTGTATATTTGACTCCATTTAAAGGGTCTTGTATGCGTTTTTAATGGTGAATAAGCAACTAATGAGGGGTGACCTTTTTTGAGTCATCTTTCTCAGTTCTTATTGGATGCTTTAGAATCTTAGTTTGTAGATACAAAGTAATTGTTGATATGATATCATTATATAAATTCCTAGAAATCTTGATTTTATAAATCTAATTTTGAACATATAGATGTACAATTGGAGTGATCATCGTTGCTTTGTGCATGAATGGTGAAAAGCAACAAAGATTTAATCCTCATTTAGAACTTGCTCTAATAGATAAACAAGGCCGCATGGAAAGCGGAGGTGAACAAAGCATTTGTGGGAAGAGCCTAAGGAATCTGATTGAGTTCTTATTTTTTTGTTTTGATTTCATGAGATATAAATGATCATAGGAAAGCGGTGGGGGGAGAGAGAATTATTGACTGAGAGAAAAAGTGGTGTTAGGAAAGTTGTAGGGACAGAAAGAGGTCACTAAGAGAAAGGCACAATTGAAGAGAGAATAAATAAATAACTAACTAGCAACAACAACAACAACAAGCCTTTATCTCACTAAGTGGGGTCCGTTACATGAATCATTTTTCTCCATTGTGTCCTATTAAGTGTCATATTTTCTCTTAATTCTAATAAATTAAGATCATTTTTTATACATGCTCCGATCTTTTTTGATCTACCTTATCTTAACAAAATCAAATCTAAATCATCTACTCTCAGATGATAGACGTGTAAGGTGACTTTCTTTTATTTTTTTTGCCACTGGAGCTACACTAACCCTTTCACAGATATATTTGTTTCACATTCTATCTCTAAGTGTAAAGATACTCATCCACCTTAACATTCTTGTCTCAACAACACTTAATTGGGATGAGAGAGAGAGAGAGAGAGGGAGGAACAAAAAAACCATTCATAAATTAGAAACAGGGAAGAGAGGGGTTTTATTAAGAGAAAGTTATGATAATAGAGATAGGCGATGGAAATCATGATGTGACATAATTATTGATATAGAGATAATAATTTAGTGAGATAGTCGAGGAGATTGATTCATAAAAAAATGCATTAAGCGTTGGAAAATATTGATAGCTGATCTTGTAATCTCATTTTTGATTGCATAAAATCAACTTTAACAGTTTATATGAAAGGCTCTTAATACAAAAGTCATGTCTCTAGATAAATAATTAACAAAGCCATTTTAAGTACATCATTGAAATAAAATATGATTAAAATGGTCAGATGAAAGCAAAGTTAAGTCAAAGGTAAATGAACCATTGATTGATGTTGAAAATCCATGCAAATGCCAGAATTTAATTATTAATGTAATTGAGGTTATCAAGAATATTAAAGTTGTTGCAGCAAATGAGCTCAAATCTCTTAATAAAGACTAGCTCCAAGTCTTCATGAGCTAAGCTGCTTCATTAAATCTCGCCAAACATAATAAATAGGTTAGATAAATCTGTCGTTAAGTTAAATCCATTTTTTTCTTGTTCTATTTATTAAATCTAGATTTACTAAATCCACTTATGAAAATTAGCATATCTTGAACTAACAAAATTCTTTTCCTAGCCAAAACAAAAAGAGGCATTTACATGCATAACACCCAATTCCTATGTTTGCACCAAAAAAAACAAATAAAAAAAAATAAAAAGAGGCATTTACATACATAACACCCAATTCCTACGCATTTACATATCTAGCACCTAATTTAATGTGAAAAATTAAAAAGGGAGAATCCACTCTTCCATTCATTAATAGAAGAAAAGATTATAAAATACATTTTTTTTAGAAAAAGCCCGAGGGCTAATATATTAATACGAAAAAGAAGAAAACCCAACTCATACAATACAACACACACAAAACCCAGATAAAACAAAGATACATAAAGGAAAAAAACCAAAAAGCCACAAAAGGACATAAAAGTGCTAGAAACGTCTCACTTTAGTCCTTCTGCTCCTAGTTCTTGGAAGTGAGCCGGCTAACAAATTAGTAAGGTTAGTACCATTGCCCATAGTAACCAAAGTGCCATCCATCAGATTCCTGAGCTCAAGTAGATCTTTATTATTATTCTTCCTCCTGGATGTGTAGACATGTCATTCCTCATCTGATCAGTAGATTCCAAAGGTGGTCGAACAGTTGTAGGTCGTTGCACGTTTTAATTCTCATGAGCCTGAGTAATATTAACATTTTCCTGGACCTGATGAGGCGGTAGTGAAGCAGTAGAAGTATTTTCATCAGTATTATCAGTGATAGGTTCTAGGGAAGACGGGGTCTGAAGAAACTCCCTCTCCCCCACGATAGGAGGTAAAGATTATAAAATACATAACTTAACTCAACATCTTAGAAATTTGGTGGAGATATTGGATTTATTTTAATTTAAAATTTCTGTTATGAATTAGTTTTTAACCCTAAACCCTGAGTTAACAAAAAAATAAAAATAAAAATAAAAAATAGCATCATAAAAATGATTCTCAATTTGTAATCTAACTCAATGAAGATGCTTATTCAAGTGAAGATTCCTTTTTTTCATAATGATACCCCCATTCTTAATTTTCAAGGTATGCCTTTGCTTGTTTTTTATTTTTTATTTTTTATTATTCAAAAGTTTCAATTTATGTGTTTTTTGCTCGTGTACAGAACCATATCAATATGGGTGTCCACCCTAAGCAAATTCGACGTTTCGGACGTGCTCGCGTACAATACACATCACGAAAATTAGCATTATTGGATGTTGAGAACCATATCAAATAACTTGAATCCACTCTTCCTAAGATTTTTTTTTTGGTTAACTTAAATTAGCATTATTGGATTTATTTTAATTGAAATTAGGACTAATTTCCCATTGGAATAATCTTAGATTTAAATTTTGAGCATTATGGTTCAAGAGTTATAGCACTAGCTGGAAGCAAGCAAGATATATATTTGCATTATGGTTATTTTATGGGGCATTTACATACATGCCACTCAATTCCCATGTATTTACATATTTAACATCTAAACTTTAATTTTTATACTTATAAGATTCTAATCTTTCATATCACATAAAAAGAATACCACTATTTTAACTTTTAAAAAGTAAAATACACCTTTTTATGCATCGGTAAGGTGGCATGCATGTAAAAAATGAAGTTTAGGTGTTTGATATATAAATACAAAGGAATTGAGTGTTATGTATGTAAATCTTCCTTTTTAACAATGTATTATTTATCTAGGTTAGAAATTTTCCATATTGGTCTTGCTGATGTTTGTATGCTCTCTCATGAACTTCTCTCAATTTCCCACTTCGAAAAAATTAAGCGTGGTGGTCAACTTTTACAGCGAAGGACACCCTTTTGAAGGGAATATATAATTTTAATTTGGATTTTTAAAATATTTGTCATAACCTTAGAGATTACATTTACATACTATAATTTTTTCATATTTACAGGGATCAAATATACCTTTGGTTGTCAAGTGGGCTGACACTGAAAAAGAAAGGCAAGCCCGGAGAGCACAAAAAGCTCAATCTCAGGCCTCCAGTGTTTCTATCACCAATTCCATGCAACAACCTTCAATATATGGAGCATTACCAATGGGCTATATCTCACCATACAATGGGTTTGGTTACCAGGCATGATTCTGCTCTCACTTGTTTTCTAGCAATCTTGTTTGGGGCATTTACATACATACCACCCAATTCTTATGCATTCACATATCGAACCCCTAAACATTCATATTTACATGCATACCACTCAAATCTTTAACATCACATCAAAAGTACTTTCACCATTTTTATTAAAGTGAAATACACCTTTTCATGCATAGATTTATGACACTAAAGAGTTATAAGTGTAACTATTGAACTTTGGTTATCAAATATGTAAATACATAAGAATTCTGCGATATGTACCTAAATTTCACATCTTGTTTTTATAGCACCGTTAGCTGCAAAACTTTTTTAAAATGTTTTTGCAGGACTTGATATTGTTCTGGCTCATTGTATCTATGGAAAATTTGCATACGTACCACACAATTCTTGTGAATTTACTTCTTGAACACTTAATGGTTGCTATTTACATTTATAACACCTTGTTGCTATAAACCTATGTGTAAAAAGGAGAGTTTCACTTTTAAAAGTTATTATAAGTGGCATTTTTGATATTATGTTAAAGATTTGAGTGCTATGAATGTAAATATCAAAAGGTAAATTTACATACATGTCACACAATTCTTATTTATTTAAGTATCCAACACCCAAAGTTTGATATTTACACTCATAACACTTAGGTGTCATAAACCTACGCATAAAAAGATGTGTTTCACTTTTAAAAAATAGATATGGTGAAATTTTTGGTGTGATGTTAAAGATTTGAGTGGCATGCACCTAAATATGAATGTTTAGGTGTTAAATGTATAAATACATAAAAATTGTGTGGTATGTGTGTAAATGCCCCATATTAAAATTTAGGTGTTAGATATGCGAATTGATAGCATTTTTGTGTTATGCATGTGAATTTGCCTATATCTATTTTGAGTTTCCCCTTGTAGTTATATAACCACTGTGAAGTTTTTGCTTCAAATTTTAACTTTCCGCTCTTTTCTCCGTATCGATAGGCTCCAGGAACTTATGGACTTGTGCCATACCCTATAACTTCGATGCAGAACCAAGCCGATTATACAGGAAATGCATTTCGTGCGATGAGCCATGATCTCTCCATGATAACCAGATCAAGAAATTTCACGACGATGCAGTCTGCTGGTTATATTGGCTCCGGATATCTAGGCTCCGGTTATCCGAGCATTCCTGGTCTTCAATATTCTCTACCCTACCAGGGCAGCATGATGAGTCCCAGGCCCAATACCTCAACACAGGCTTCAATTACTAGTACCAGTTCTGCTGGTCAGATTGAAGGTCAAAGATAAATTTATTTCCTATGTTATTGTATCTGGATATTCTTTCAAAATTGACAAGCTACTTTTCCTTTTTTTGCAATAAACAGGTCCTCCTGGAGCTAATTTGTTTATTTATCATATTCCTCAAGACTATGGAGATCTAGAGCTTTCAAATGCCTTTCAAAGATTTGGTAAGGTTTTGAGTGCCAAAGTCTTTCTCGACAAAGCCACCGGCTTAAGTAAATGCTTTGGTATGCAAACTCTACCAATCAATTCTTGTGTATTTACATATTAACTCTCAAATCTTTATTTACTTTATAACACCATAACATTAAAATCATATCAAAATATATGCATGAAAAGGCACTTTTTTGTATGGGATCATTTAATCCCAGAGTGTCCCCATACTATTTCAATGGGGGCTAAAGTCCCCATTGCTAGGGACAATTTCAAAATATATTAAAGAAATATACGTGTCAAAATTAACATTTTAATAAAATATGCACTTTTCTCGATAAATTAATGTTATTAACTTTTTTACCGTGATTTAGATACTAGGATGTTATACTGCGTCCGGACAACGGACGCCATACACTCGAAATATTTTTTTTTTCCTTCAAGTGTATTGCTCCGGACTTCGAAAGCAGCTTGCATCCAGGCTCCGCACGCAATTTTTTTTTTGAAAGATTTAGGCATGAATAATGTAAATTTGTAAAATTTCAGTGCCATGCATGTAAATTACCCCCTAAATCTTCTTTTGGCAGGTTTTGTAAGCTATGATTCACCAGCAGCTGCACAAGATGCCATTAATGTGATGAATGGCTTCCAGTTAGGTGGTAAGAAGCTGAAAGTGCAACTCAAGAGAGAAAACAGAACAAACCTTTCTGATAATTTGTCATAAAAAAACCAAAATTGTTGATTTACATAGGTTTTTTAGGGAAATTTTATAGGGGTATGGATGGAAGGAATTTGATGATTGTATAATTTAATTTGTTCCATACCATCAGGCCTCGAAGTAGAAACTGGCAGCCCCTCACTGCCAGATTCAAATTATTTAGATTCGTTCACACAGATGCATTCTCTTTTGCCGCTTTCCTTGTAATTTATGTAGGGCATTGAAATTGATCAGTAACGGCTATTAAATTCATTTGATTTTTCATGCAGCAATAAAATGATTGCATGTGGTGGAACCCTTGTGCTGCATTTCGCTGGTAATCATTTTATGAATCACACTTTATTCATTTATTTATTTATTTATTTTTTTATTTTTGGGAAATTTACATTCACACACACACACAATTCTAATATATTTGCATATCTAACTCCTAAAATTTCATATTTACATGCATACCAATTTTGTGCTTTTAAACCTATGCATGAAAAGATGTAATTTCATTTTTAAAAAGTGATAATAGTCTTATTTTTGATGTGAAATTAAAAATTATTGTGGTAATTGTTGCCACCATTATCATCAATTTTTACATTGATTTTTTTATTTTAAATTATTTATTTTTTTAGCATTTATTTTACATCTAATCATGTAATTTTAAAATATTTAAAATATATTATTTTTTAATTTTACTGATTTTTTTTTTAAAATTTGGCTTTATTTACAATGTCTACTAGCATTACCTTCACCCTTTAAAAAATAAAATAATTTACTAAAACATAAAATTTTGATGTTGATTTCTTTGATGTTTAATATATTACATATAATTCTCTCTAACAGGAAAAATTATTGCATACGAACATGCGGTGTCCGATTCTGACCGTACGGTCAGGATATATTTTGGTGGGCCCCACCTAAAATTTTTTTTTTAAAAAAAATTAAAATATATTCTGATCATATATCACCGTGATCTACGGTCATAATCCGACACTGCATGCAATAATTTCTCCTCTAACAGAGTTACCCTGAAGAAGGTGGTATTCAAAATGTTAGATATATTATAGATGATTGGAGGCTCTTATCATACTCTGATCATTTTTTAAGATATATATATATATATATACATAGGTCCCACTAATTAAAATGTATTTGACCATCATGACTTTTTCCAACTCCTCACCAAAGGAGGACCCTCAATGCATGTATGGGCGGGACCTGACTCTTCACTACCAAACAAAAAACACAGCCAACAAATGGGCCCCGTACAGAGCATAGATAAAAACAAAATAAGAAAATAATGGCCATGATATCATTATTAAATTACATCCAACCACATACAAAACAACTTATGTATTGACATATCTGATACATAAACTTTTATATTTACATTTATGACAAATATGCTATAAACCTTTGCAGTATCACTTTTAAAAAAATATACAAAAGTGATGTTTTTGATGTGATATTAAAGATTGGAATGCTATTTATGCAAATATGTAAGTTTGTGTTAGATGTTTAAATACATGAAAATTGTGTGGTTTGTATTTAAATGCCCCAATTTTTTTTTACATAAGTCCAAAAATCAGAATTATTTTTGAAATTAAATTAAATGTAGCATTCGAAATAAATATTAACAGGTCATTATAATTTTAAATATTAAAGAATCGTAGCAAAACATCAATATTTTTATTTATAAACTAAATGTGATATGCATACAGTCTCAAGCATGCATGTACATGTACATGCTTATGCGTGTGCGTGCACTTGCAGCGAGTAAAAATGATAATTCTAAAAAAGGTAAACAAACTTGGCCATTGCCCTCAATTGATAAGAGTAGAGGTAAATAGTGCCAAAATAACTTAAAACTAGTTGTGTTAATTCAAAACTTAAAATGGTTTGAGGGCAACCTTACCATCATATCAAACTTAGGGTTTTGTTAAGTTGCTCAACTTAGAGCCTTTGAAAAGTCTCCATGCCATTCCATGTAAGGCACATTGCATGCACATCTCACATATCATCCTTCTTGTGACCTTGGATTTCTAGGTTGGATTCTAGATTGGACAATTACTTATTTTTTTCTTGATTTATGTGTAATATTTGTTTGTGCAATGAACAAAACCTACTTGAATCACATCTAAATTACTGTTATGTAGGGGTGTAAACGAGCTGAACACGAGCTAGTCTAGAGTCAACTCGTATTTGAGCACCACTATTCGTGTTCGGCTCGTTTATATTTCGAACAAAAAAAAATGTTCGTATTTGACTTGTTTCCTTAACGAGCCAAACACGAGCTGTCTATGAATAAAGAATCATTTTGACAAGCCTAATAACGTAGAATGTTAAGAGTTACATTGAGATTTCAATCTTGTTCTTTATATTAAAACACAATTTAAATGTAATTTAATATGTTCTTATTCAATTTTTAAATTAACACTTTTAATTGATTATAAATCTTTGTAGGCTTGTAGTTAATTAAAATTTTTAAAAAAATACCACTCATCAAATATATTGTTTCGAGCTAAAACGAGCCGGACTCGAATGAACAGATATTTGCTCATGTTCTACTCTTTTATATATCGAGCACAAAAGAATTATTTGTGTTCAGTTCGTTAACTCAGTGAACGAATCGAACACGAGTTTCTTAACAAGCCGAACACAAGCTATTCGCGAACAACAAACCATTTTGACAACCTTACTGTCATGTTCATTGTGTTTAAGTGAACTTTTAATCTAAATTAATTTATTTAAGTACCAAATTTATGGTTTAATTGTTTTGAAAGCATACTATATTTTTTCCTTAAATATATCCCTGTTAATCAAACAAATATATGCACAAAAATCATATAGATGATTTCCAATTTTAGGAATGACTCCTATCATTTACATGAATATGTTAATTATATTATGGTGCAATTCAGGAAACTACTCTGCGGGTAGATGAGTAAATCCTTTACAATTACATTTTTTGGTGCTATCAATTTTCCAAATTACAAATGAATTGTAGCACAAAATAAAATTACTTAAGCATATTTTTATGGAATTTTAAAATCATCTAACAATGGAGAAAGGTTACAATATGTCATGAAATCTTTCTTAATTCTTCTTATTGTATCTTTTGTTGAATAATTATGTCTTTTTAATTTGTTTAATTTTAATTGAAGCCGGTCTAAGAAGTTTTTTTTATAGATTTGAAAAGTCAGAGAAAGGGAGTTAAGGTTTAAGAACAAAATAAAACAAATGGAAGACACCATCATAAGATAATTTTCTTGAGCCTTTCATGTTAGAGGTAGGATGCCAACATAATACTATATGAGTAAATGAATTTCACGTTTCTTGTATGATTTGGTGTGCTCCTAAATGTAAGGAGTTTTGGAACTAGATTTTATCGATCATAGGTTGTGTTTTACTACTCTTAAATATTTTGCTTCCATTGCACTTTAGGGTAAGTTTATGATAGTTGGATAATGATTTACGGATATGAATGTAATTATACGTCATGAATGATATAGAACTATATTCATTAATATTCATAGTGCTAGGTGGAATGATTTTAAAATGATAATTGATCATTCTAAATAATGATCATTACAAACCATAAAAAATTCAAGGCACATTGAATATGTATTACACCTAGAACCCATGATTTTATTAATGGGTAAAATCCTACATTTTATGAAGCATCTCTCATGTATACTAACTTGTTAATGTGCCATGAAAAATAATTTTACATGCTTCTTTTATATGTCTTTACAAATGAATGCAATGATAGGGTATATAATTTGTGATCTTTACATAAAAAAAGGTATACATAAGTATTAATAATTTTCATTTCCTTATATTTAATATAATTTACATGACATATATGAGTGATGACCATACTAAACAAAAATATTTTTTTTAGCCAAGTATTTCATGAGTTTAAATTTGTGTAATTAAGGTTTTGGTGTGTACATTTCTTCCTTCTTTTGATCGAGTCATACATACTTAATCCTTAGGTTTTGAGTAATGTGTCACTTTAAATACTTTGTACCACATGCTCTTATCTTTCATAATTTAATTGAGTTGTATTGAACTCATTTGATTGCCTTAAATCAATTAAGCTTTTGAGCTTGCCTTATTCTCTTCCAATAATCATAGTTTGGCTACATTTGATGACCATTTTAATCACTACATGGTAATCTTCATCTTTTCATTTTATTAGTATATCATCTTTGTCTATTCCTATATTTTTATCTTTCTTTTGATAAGTAAGAAATTGCATCAAGTGGTCTTTAAATTCTTTTTCATTACTTACCATTCTTTGGAAAACACATGGAATCTCATGAAATTTACCAAAAATCTCCAAACTTTTCTAAGAACTCTTCAAAACCCACATCATCATGAGTTCTATTCCCTATCATAAGCAAGACCAATCTCCCTCTTCCTCTTCTCCCTCTTAGGCGACGTCTTAAACATGTTTATAAATAATATTCTTATTCTCTTACAAGGATATGCATTCTTAAATGAAAATTTTCTTTGGAGTATTCTACAATGATTTGTGTGTTCTCCGTTATAAGTAAAGTTTCTCTATTGTTGTAAGTTAAAAAAATGCCCGCATAGATCAAGATGAAAGCCGACGACAACAGAGATCTGTCGGCCAACCCAACCAACTGGCTGGCCACCTCGCTGGATGGACCCAACAACAAAAAGATGTCGAATATACAAAAATGTGCTAGACATATGAAAAGATGTTAGATATACGAAAGATGACAAACACATGAAAAGACGTCAAATACACAAAAATGTGCCAATGAATATAATGATAATATGTAACTCTCAAGGACAAGAATATAATCTTTATACTTTTATCCTCCTATCATCTATAAATAGGAGGACATTTTTCATGTAAATGTATTCATGTCATTTAGGCTTCCAACCATTTTGGCATCGCTCTCTCATTCTCTTGTAACAACTATTTTCAATATATAAAAAATGTTTGAGAGCCCGGGGAACACCCCCACTTTGCCCCACTGGGGTAATCGTGCCTTTATTAATCCCTCTATTTCATGTCTTTGTTAGTCCCTATATTCATACATAGGTAAATGGTTTAAATATCTTTTTATTTTGTATCTAAACAAATAGATAAATTAACTTTTTACACTTTAGTCACTCGACTTTTTAGCCTTATTTATTGTAATTTATAGTTAAACTAGAATTTACAAATTGCATTTGAATCTTATTTATATGTAGTTATTTTTATTAGCCCAAGATGATAAACAACAATAAAAAAGAGTAATAACTCCAAAGCTTATTATTAACTGGTTAATTAAATTTTTGAATCATAACATTAAAACATTTGAGATATTTGCTCATAGAGCATACAAACTAAATTTCTTTTGGTATAGTATAATGGATATTTTATCAACATGAAAGCTAATCAAGTACTTATTAGAATTTCCATTGACCTTATTACAATTCAATACCTATGACTAAACTTTCTAGTATTTGTCATGACCTTTGATATAGAGAATAATCTTAGGTATTGTAAGGATTGTCATATAGCTAACAATTTTTGAAAATCATTACCTAAATAATGATTATCACCTTAAGTAAGGATCTATTAAACTTTAAGAGTAAATACACTATATCACCCTATTTATAGATTCAACACAATAAAGAATATCAGTGTAGTTTCATTGAAGAACTCAAGGATGAAATGAAATTTTAGTAGAAATATTTTTAGAATTTAATGTTAATTAATCACCTATAAAATTATCTTGCAGCTATATAATGATGAGAATATCAAGCAATTATTTGCTCTTTTAAAGTCATTTGTTCTTGTTCATAGACTTTTAAATATAAAATTTATGCTTGATTCACCTCACATTGAGCGAAGCAGTGAATCCATTTTTAAGATAATAAATTTTACTCCACAATATGGTGGCTCTTATTTCACATATAAAAAATTGTTGTTCAAAATGATATGATCACTTGCTCCAAAGCCAAATAAAATTTTATATTTTCTCCCATTTTATTTGCATATTCATATAGATGTAACAAATCCCATTTTAACTTATTTAAAGCATGATGTATGCCAAAATATTTTTTTAAAAATTTACTATTAAAATATGAAAATTTTAAAAACTATGATAATTTATCGAGATGATCCGTAAAATATTAATTTGTTTAGGCTGATATGGGACTACCAAAAGTTTGATACGAGATAATTTTATAGGTGCTCTTAATTGGTTAACCTATGAGAAGATATGGACCTGATCACATTATGAGGATGATTAATGATCATATTAATGAATCTTACATTCTCATAGAGCTAGAGTGTTTATTATTTCAATGTAGTGAATTTTAACTATTTGTTGTGGCTAAGCCTTAAATATTTTTGTTCCATGCATAACATTCATTTGTAGGTCAATAATAATTATGTACTACACCATCATTGTTACCCTTAACTTATTAAGTGTGATTTTATGTAAGTTAGTTACCCATAGGTTTCTTAGCACATATAATATGTTCATCCCTCTAAGAGATTATAAATGACTTGTAATAATAAACTTTTACCATCTACTTCAACGTGTACATGTGTTTCATTTAATAGTGTCAAATTATTTGAAATCAAAGAGATGATGCATGATGAATTTTGAAGCTATTTTAATATTTTAAAATCTAGATTATATACTTAGGACCCTTCTTCATGTATTTTACTTTGATTGAGGCTCATGTATTTGTCAAGAGTCATTTTTGATACTTTGCATCTCGTATTATCATTCCTAACATATCATTAATTTGTGAAGAGAGTCATTAACCAAGTCATGTATGTACTTGAGCTAGCCTAACTCTCTTTGCTATACTTTATTTTGACCAAATATGGTTGTCCAAAAATTATTTGACCTCTGTTTTATCATTTGATTACCATTTCACCAACAGCCACCTCCCGTCCTTCTCCCTTCTCTTAATAGATTAAACATATAATTATTTATCTTATAAACACACTTCCTTTATTATCTTTATTGGAAAAAATACATTAAATTTCTTCAAAACCTAATTCAAAGTAAAAAATAAAAAGAGAAAATTATATCACCATGAATTATCCTTTGTTTCTTATAACGGTTAATCCGAGCCTTGATTATGGATAAAAAAGAAGAATCACTTAAATATATAAGGAATCTGAATTTATAATTATATAAATAGTTATACATGCCATAAACTAATATTTTTATTTACTTTTTATCATATATTTAGATCAATAATATGTGATTGAAGTAATAATTATGAATATTGGGAATGGACCGACATAAATCTCGAGGAGATTCAACTGTTCAGAAGGCAGAAAAGTACAACTAAAAAGGGTTCACCAACAAAAGACCATAAGATACCCGCTTATCAAACTAGACATAGTAGACCGAACCAAAGTCAAGGCCAAAGTCGACCGGATGTAGTAATCCATCTAGATCCAACAAGACAAAAACATCCAAATGGTTCGAGCCCTAATCCATCAGACCAAGACATGACATATAAGCATGCAAGCCAACTACCATAAGAATGCCTATCGCAATCGACTCAACCTTTTGATAGACTAGACCCTAGAAAAGACTCGGCTTCTCGGTGATTTCATGTTGCAAATTATAACTCCATGTTTGACTTGGAATAACATAGGATATATGTTAATGTTGCTTATAAGAGAAATGATTCAATTCCTTAGACTAAGTAAGAGAGAGAGAGAGAGAGAGAGAGAGAGAGAGAGAGAGAGAGAGAGAGAGAGAGAGAGAGAGAGAGAGAGAGAGAGAGAGAGAGAGAGAGAGAGAGAGAGAGAGAGAGAGAGAGAGAGAGAGAGAGAGAGAGAGAGAGAGAGAGAGAGAGAGAGAGAGAGAGCCTATAAAATCAATTAAATTTATTTTAAATGACATTTCTCTAAAGATGAAAACAATAACATGTGTATGCAAACCTAATTGGCACTTCTCTAATCAACTAAATGTTCTAAAAAATGGTAAATTTTAAAATTTATGAAGGTTCAAGCTCAAGAGAATGTCCTTTAAAAGAACCTTTTGAAGCCAATCTCAAATAAAATTTGAAGAATATTTCTTAAAATTAAAGTTAAAAACCTCATTTAAAATTTATTTTTTTAATCTTTTAAAGAATTAATTATACCCAACCCATTTTTCAAAACAAAACTCAAACAACTTCTTAAAAAAAAGCAAAATTGAAATATGTTTTCTACCAAAACTAAAATCTAATAAAGTTAAAACTCTCAATAAAAAATTTAAATCCCTTAAAACCTAAAAGACATCGAAATAATCTTTTAGTTAATCAAAATTAAAACATATTTTTCTGAAATGAAATCCTTTTAAGAAACCTTAACTTAAAATCTTCATCAAAACCTTTTAACAAACCTTAACTTAAGATCATTTAAAGTTGAAACCTTTTATCTTAATTGAAAAATTTTAGCAAACCTAAAGCTTGAAACTTCTAATAAAACATAAAACCTTTTTCAAAGCTCTACTAAAAAATTTCAAACTAAAATAAACCAAAACTTATATAAATCAAGCTCAAATCTAAAACCATTTCTCAAACAAAACTAAAATAAATTTAAAAGAAATCTAAGAGATCCATAAAAAAAATATTTTCTAATCACAACCAGCCTTCTTCTTCAACTCATTAATTAAAATATCAAACTTGCATAACCTTTATAAGGCTCTTTTGAATAGCTTAGCATAAAACAAGATTTATACATTCATAGGCATAATGAATGTGCTCCTTTCTAGGAGAATGTGATTTCATAAGCTTAGCCTTTAAGTATATAAGTCTTGGGTCATTTTAAGTATTTACATTTCATATGTAAGTTCATATCTCTTACACTCTTCACGTGATAAAATATTTTATAAAATTACTGTTTTTATGAAAGGAAAATATATTTTGTAAGCATATAAATGAAACTCAAATATGAAGAGTTTGAACATGACAAGTTTGAGTTGAACTCTTTCAAATATAAGGCTCTAACACATAACATTAAACAAAACATCAGAGGGCCACCTTGGAGAAAGAAACAAACAAAGAATATCAACTTAGGATATAAAATTAAATTCAAACCCAAGCTTAAAAGAAAACCATGATTTATCACACACACTGACAAATTAGAAAAATAAAACCTAAAAAATTAGAAGAAAATTATGTTTTTTACCATAACTGACAAATCTAGGATTATTAAACCCTAAAAATAATTAAAAGCACCAACTTTAATTTTTAAAACCACCACCTAGGTAGATGCAAATTGTGAACCTTAGGTTAGCCAATGTAGAAGAAAATCAATGGCCACACACACCCTAGAGTTGTCTAGTCTAGATGCCTAGGTTAGTTCACTAGGTATCCAATAGATAGAATTAATGACCATGACATATAAAACAAATAGCTTACCCCTTGGGACTATGTGAGTACCCTAGGACAAATCAACACATGATTACTAATGAAGATACCCAAACTATTAAATAATAGGAATGCCTACTATATTCATTGTTATATCAATAAAAGAGACATCTTGTTATTTTGTTTGTTAATAGTTCAAAGATCCTAATGCATACAAGATAATGAAAAGTCATGAGCATCTTGACCGAGGGCATTGTTCCCAAAATTTAGGTTAGTCCACCTATTTAGTCTCTTTTTAAGAGTTATTTTAGGTTAATACCTCAACTTCATCTAGAAATCCCCCACCCTTTCCTACCACTTAGTGTAGGGTCGATTCCGAATTCAAAGCCATACTCAGCCCAAATTCTAATCTCCTCAAATCAAATATCCAAATCCAACTTTCAAGTCGAACTCAACTCCATATCAAACTTGACTTGATACCAATTTCAAATTCAAAACCAATTTGCTGAAAAAAAAAAAAAACAACAAATTATTTAAGAAAAACAGCTCCCCAAGTAATCGTAGCAGCGGTCACAAAGCAAAGCAGGAGAACAGGGCTTCAGAATGGCACTCCGCTCTACTCCTTCGCCGTCTTCAGTGATCGGCCTTCGCAGATATCTCCAAATCCACCCGCTTCGTGCGGTCTTCTTCCATCGAGCTCACTTCTCCACATCTCTAAAGAATTTTGGGTCAACAAGTGTAGATCGCAATGGATCCGTACCTAGGATTTCTCATGTCTGTCCAAGCGCCGATCACTCTTGTACCGAGGAGATGAGCCCTTCTTCATCCAGAATCTTTGTCAAAGGTAAGGATCGAACCTCAATCTCTCTTTTCTCTGCGTTTCACGCTTTTGAAAAGCTTCCTTAGCTTCATAGTTTCTTGTTTGGGTATTCTGAGTATAATCCACTGCCCATGTTTACACCTGAAGGTTCATTTCAAGCTTCCATACTGCATCGTTTTCCGATATTTACAAATAAGATTAATCATATATTATTTAAAAACCCTAGATGATCTAGCACAATTTTTAAATAGAGCGTGATATAGATGCACCTTCAGGAGATTGAATTGGGATTTGGATTGATCTGGTTTTCCTAATTGAAGAGGCTCTGATTGGCTTTATTGGCCTGAATTGGATGAGGCTAGTCATGAGATGCCTAAAATGTTTGAATCAGAACTTGAATGAGTTTAGGTTGATCGCAAAAAAGCTGCCTAAGCAGTTATTTGGTATGCAGTTTTTGAAACACTTGTATTTTAACTTGAATGCTATATTTTAAAAATACATTAGGTGTTTGGTTGGATATAAATAAAATGCATTATGATTTTTCTTTCACTTTTGGTTTCCCTCTTTGGCTTCTTGAGTGAGAAGGTCTGGGCATGGTGCTGGCCCTCCTCTCGCTCTCGGGAGAGGAGTGGGAGCGGCGATGGTCTTAAAGGTGGAGGAGGTGGTACTCGAGAGGTGAGTGTTGGCTTAATTGTTGTGAATGGTTGTTCTTGCGGGGATAGAGGTTGTGTGATCTGTTCCAAGAAACTTGATGCATCTATGGGCAAGATGGGCTTAGGAGATGAAAAATCAATAGGCCGGAACTCTCAGACAATTGGCTGGTCAAATTGTTGGAATGGATACTTGACACCTAATTTCACACCAAATTCGTTTCAGACTGATTTTTCTCCTATTTGGATCGATTTCCTCACTTGCCACTCCTCTATTGGAACAACACCACCATTACTTTTATTGCTGTGCTGTGGATTGATGGTCAAACAAGCTCTTGGGGAAGAAGCTCATATGCTCGGGTTTGGGTTTGGGTTGAACTTTCAGAAAGGCTCACACTGGGTGTCTGGGTCAAAGGTATCATTGACAAACTTTTTCTGAAAATTGTGTACAAAGGGATATCTCACCTTTGCTTTTGGTGTGAATTCATGGGCTATAAATAAGTTGGATGTAGTTTTGGTAGGGGCTCGACTAACCATGTGGGGAAGATAGATAACACACCCATAAATCCATTAAGTCCAACTCCGATTCTCCCAGGCGGTTTCGTGTGGAGGCGGTGAAGGAACCCAACTATAGTGATACAAGCTTGAGGGAGGGTCAAGGGAATTCGATATATGATCCCAAAAAGAAAACTGGAAATGAAGAGGGTTCTAATGTGGGTGGCCAGGAAATGCTTGTGGATCCCACAACACATTCACAATCTTGCCAACAGAACAAACAACATAAGACAATTAAATTTAAATAAAAATTAGGACATCAAGGAAATTTGAAAGGGGTGGCTAGCATTTGGCAGGAGGACTGAAATTGACAACAATCGAAAAAGAGAATGGGAGCTCATAGAGTAGCCAACCATTATGGTGACAAAAATGTTGATATTGGGGTTAAAATCGTGGATCAACCACAAGCGGTTTTTAATTCTGCTCATATTCTGGAGGAAATGCAATCAGAAGGAAATGCCTTGGTGAGCATTACAAATAGAAATACTGGAAGTATAGTCTCTAAAACTCATTTAGAAATGGAGCTAGCTCGCCTAGGTTTGGTGGCTCCACAGCCCAGGAAAATGAAGAAAGCTATAGAGGAAATTACGGATGGAGGGAACATGCCCCCTTTAGTGGACCAATGATGAACATTCTTTTTTGGAATTGTAGGGGTGCCCGGAAGAAAGCTACTGGCAATTTCTTAAAGCACCTTATTGGAGACAACAAAATGCACTTCATTGATCTTGTGGAGACTCGGGTTGAGCAGTTCAATCAGAGACACATTGATAAGATGGTTGATAATCGATAGGATTTTCGCTTTCAGCCTTATGTTGGTAAGTCGACAGATATTATTATTTTGTTGAGGAGACATCTTCTCTCTTTCACCACCATAATCATGCTTAACCAGGTTATCCGAAAATACTATTTTTTTCTGGACAATAAAACATGGATAGTTGGTATAATTTAAGCTAATAAGGACCACTTAATTCGAAGAGATTCATGGAAGTGCATCACATACAATGCCGAAGCTGATGTACTAACTCTTATAGGCGGAGGTTTTAATTGTATTGTTTCACATATGGACATAAGAAGTGGAAGACCTTTTTTTTTAGCTTAGGAGTTCAGGAAACTCTTGATTTTATGGAGAGAAATGGCTTACATGACTTGGGCTTCAATGGCCAAAGGTACACTTGGTGTAATAACAAAGATTGAAGGGAAAAAAATTTGGGTGAGACATGATAGAATCTTTGCCAACTTGGCAGCTGTCCAAATTATCCCTTTTGCTGCAACCAACCACATCAAACCATTGTCTTATTGCTCTGCATCTCAACCAACTTGAATTCAAGCAAGCTAAAATTATCTGATTTGAGGATATGTGCTTATCTTATGCTGTTGCGTGGCATCCAAACTAGTTGGGGAAAGCTGATTATGGTATTGAAGCACAAATTATGGAAAGGAGGTGCAAACACACTCTCAAAACTTTATTTTAATGAAGCAAAAAAAAAAAAAAAAAAAGTAAAGAATTGGGGGTCCTCAAGAATAGATTAGAAATTAAGATTTTGGACTACTCGGAGGAGGTTTTGACGGCTACAACTGAAACTGAACTTTGTGCTAATGTGCACAAATTCAATGTTATACTGGCGCGTCTCACTATGTGGTGGCAACAACGTGCCAAAGTTAGACTGCTGCAGGAGGGGGCTTCGAATGACAACTTTTTTCACTCAATGGCTAGGTCTCAGTATAAGACTAACCGCATCATCCGTTTGAAGCAGAATGATGGGAGCTTTTTTGAGGATAAAAAATCAAATTATAAAGACCCTCATTGATTTCTTCACTAATAAATGAAGGTGCCTATCAGTATGGATGGTTGTCCAGACATTGAGATGACTCTTCAGTTGGGAAATCCACTACACAACTCAGGACTAAAGTACCGATGAGGAAATATGAAATGCAATAAAACAAATGGCTCCTAATCGGGCTCCAGGCATTGATGGAATTACCACTACTTTTTTAAGCAATTCTGATTTATCATTAACAAAGAGGTTCTACAAGAAATCCATGACTTTTTTTTTACTAGCAAAATGCTAAATACTTCGAAAGAATCACTTTGTTGTTCTCCTCCCTTGGTGGAACATGCTGATGCACCTGCGTGATCCTACATTTAGCCTTATGATCAATGGAAAACAATTGCCATGGATTAAAGCGGAATGTGGATTCTGACAAGGGTGCCCACTCTCACCATACTTGTTCATTATTTGTCCGGAGCTTCTTTCACTCGCCTTTCTCCAAAGAGCTGAACATATAGGGATCAACCCTTTTAATGGTCCCATTAGAATCTCTCGTCTGCTATATGCGGGCGACATTATTTTATTCTCGGAAGCATTGATGAAGGTGGCTAACGTGTTGAGAAGTATTCTAGACAATTATTGTAGTTGGACATGTCAACGTATTAATTCCTCAAAATTGGCCACATTTTCAGTAAAGCCACTATGGGTAGAATAAGTAACTTTTTTCAATCCAGACGGGTGGATGAAATCGAATGTCTCAGGATTAATTAAAACATCTCAGCTCACAATGCCCATGTAGCTCATTATCCTCACAGAAGTCTCTAGTGGAGTTCTCAAGTAGATTGAAAGACTTAGTTTCTTTGGCATAAGGAGCCAAACCGTCACCTGCTACATTATATTGCTTGGGAAATACTATGTCAACCATCTTATTCCAGGGGATTCGATTCATGCTTTGGATAGGTGGAAGGGACCACTGCGAGCCAAGCTAGCTTTGAATTATCTTCAGGATCAAAACTCACTCCATTTATGCTCAAAGAAGAAGAATGGCAAATGTTTGCATAACAACATACATTGCCACAACGGTTCTACTACCTTGAAAATGTTATTTGATGGGGTGGCTTCTCTCGATAATATCTAACGTTGTAGAATTGTTAATGGCTGGAATATTGAGGTGGTGGAACAGTGCTGGATACAGGACTTACCCAAGCTAAATGGCCCTGCCACGCTAATGTAGAGAGACTTGAAAACCTAAAATTGTCTGATCTTATCAGTAATAATTGCTGGAATGAATAGATGATTCAAGAATGTTTTTATAAGAAACTTGGGGATAGAATAATGCAGTTTCCAATTAATACAAATGCCAAACAAGATGAAATCGTACTCATCCGTATGTACACATGTAGAACTATTACTTCTCAGGCATATGAAGTTGTTTTTTGTTATCAAAGAAGTGAGTTCACATGGCTTAAGAGTTTACAGTTACACCTATGAGAACATTGGGACTTGGCCCAAGTTGAACTTGAAGCCATTTCACTGATAAAGACGATGTGTGGCAATGGTTGCTTGAGAGCAAATGAGTAATTATTGAAGGAGACAATGTGCATATCATACATTTCTTAAGATCCACATTAGAGAAGAAGACATGGCAAAGCTAACCGTCCACGGCTCTAAATCTAGTTTTCCTCACTACCTTTTGACAGTTATATTCCTTCGCACGGGGATTGCAGCCGTGCTGCTCACTTCTGCTCCAATTTGGCTTTAGAGAATTCTTTTGTTTTAAATCATGTAAAAATGATCATATTTTTTTGCTTTTATTCTTATAAATGATAGGTCACACTTTTGTACATGATAGACACATATGGACATACTTTTTGTAATCTTGACTTTTATTAATGTAATGTTTGCACACTTTTTAAAAAAATGCATAGTAATTTTTTGTTGTTGTGCCCTAACATAAGGTTGACAGTGGGCTGCAACCACAAGCGGTTGCGAGCGATAGTAGGGTTGTAATTGAGCAGAGTATGCCATAGATTGGATTTGGCTTTATCAT